GGATCTGCATTTTAATATGTGAGTGTGTGTAAGAGTATAGCTATCTTTGAAAGAAATAAAAATGTAGAAAAATAAAGACAAAGAGCACAAAGTTTGCATGCAAAAACGTCCATGATTCATTAATGACATATGAAAATGAAGTAACAACCCTTACAAATGGACCGGTGTGCCTTGGGTAACACACAAGGTTTTAAAAGTCTGAATTGTTTAATTATTACAAGTCCGATAAAAATTTAAAGACAATTATTGTTGGATAAAAGTAATTGGGACAAAATCTTTAGCTTCCCAGTTGGTGAGTCCTCTATTGATAGTTGGGAAAATTCATTCTTCCAGGTCATAGACGTCATCACTATCCTTTACTGTGTTGACTCCATGGTTGTTGATCCGCAAAGGTAGTCCCCCGGAACGAACACGACGAACAGCTTTCTGGGCTCCGGAAGTGAAACCCAAACCAAATTTGTCAGATTTGTAAGGGATATTCGGGAGTTGGCCCCAAAGGTTCACATAAATCATTACAAAGCAAGAACAATTCTTCTAAGTGATATTTCTTATAATGAGTATGAGAAGATCACATATAGAGAAACTTTAAAGTCCATTTTTGACTCTCTTCAGATGACTCATGAAGATCAGGTCCATGGCTCCAGAAATGTAAAGTTGGAAAAAGCAAGCTTTACCAAAGTAGTATTATGAACTTTATGCCATTTTGGGATTAATTCATTGTGCAGTGCTTCAAAAGTCAGAACAATACCATTATCCATTGTGTTAGCATTCAATTATAGAGTGTAGAAGGGATTAGGACCTGTAATACCAAGTACAAGCATGCTAGGATCTGATTTGCAATTTGAACCATTGTGAAAATGCCTTGAACAAAAGTGATAAATTGCCATTTTCTTTTCTTCGATTCTCCCTAACCATAAATGATCTTGGAGAGTTCTTTGACATTTTGGAAATCTTGTAACATGCTCTACAATCAATATTTAAAATGAATTTTGAGATACCTCTTGGAACTAGGTGAAAAATGTCCATGAAGTTAGGTCAATAATCTGCCTAAACTAGGCCAAAATTTCACTAAGTTAAAAAGTTTATGGACCCTTATTCACAAAATCATAACTTGAGATCCAAGCATATTTTGGGAAAACATTGTGAATCAAAGTTGTATATTTAATGGAGGACTACAACTTTCATGTTGTAAGTTTTCTTTGAATCCAATTTCATCATGGTGAAAAAGTTGTGAAAAGTTGGGGGAAAATAAGAAATTTCCATAACTTAGAAAAATTCTAAGTTATGAAAAATTTCAAATTAAATCATTACAAAGCAAGAACAATTCTTCTAAGTGATATTTCTTATAATGAGTATGAGAAGATCACATATAGAGAAACTTTAAAGTCTATTTTTGACTCTCTTCAGATGACTCATGAAGGCGGCGCTTAATTTAAGAAGAAAAAGACTTTGGCCCTAATCCAGAAATATGAAGCCTTCAGAATTGAAGATGATGAATATGTGGAAACGATGTTTTCAAGATTTCAGAATCTTGTTGGAGGACTTAAAGTTCTGAGTAAAGGATATTCTACGGTAGATCATGTTAAGAAGATTATCAGAAGTCTGCCTAAGAAATGGAGACCAATGGTAACTGCTTTGAAATTCTCAAAGGATCTTAACAACACCAGTCTTGAGGAAATAATCAGGTCTTTAAGAATTCATGAGATAGAGCTTGAGAAAGATGAACCTTAGAAAAGAGTTAAATCTGTGGCTTTGAAGTCTAAGTCTGGAAAGACCAAGACTTTTCAAGCAGAAGAAGAATCAAAAGGATCTGAAGAAGATTCAGATGAAGATGAACTTTCTCTGATATCCAGAAGGATAAGTCGCAGATGGAAACACATACAAAGCAAGTTCAGAGGATCAAGAAGAACAAATAGTAGATTTGAATCTACATATGGTCAGAAGAAAGCTTCTGGAAAAAAATTACCTGTTATGAATGCAAAGAGCCTAGATATTATAAGAATGAATGCCCAAAGCTCAAGAAAGACAAGAAACTTAAGAAGGCCTACAAAGCCAAGAATGATCTCATGGCAACATGGGATGATTCAGAGTCAGAAGAAGAAGATTAGATGAAGAACATGTCAACGTAGCATTCATGGTAAAGACCAGCATGAGTGAAGCAGTATCAGAGGACAAATTGACACTTGATGATGAGTCATACTCTGATGAAGACCAAGAGGTACCTTCTTCTTTATCTTGTTATGAACTTGAAATTGGTTTATTAGAACTAATAAAAAAGTATCAATCTCTTCTAAGTAAACACAAAACTCTGAAAAAGAACTTTGTAGTTACTTCTGAGAACTCTACTAAAGATGAGCAAAACCTTTCTGATATAAATGAAAAATTATTTGTTTTAGAGAAATTAAATATTGCTCTGAAAAGTAAAGTTTCTAGATTAGAAGAAGAGAATATCTCTAGTATATATGTTGCTGATGAAGTAATTAAATATGATAGAACTTTTCAGCATTTCCTAGCCAAAAGCATAGATAGAACAAAATGGTTTCAATGATCTATGGAGTTAGCAGAAACAGAAGTAGAGGTTTGGGATATTCAGGACCACCAAAAATAATTGATGAGACTCTAAGGGGGCTACCAAGTCATCTCTGAACAAACACACAATGACCAAGCATATGATAAACAAAGTGCATAAAAATAAAGAACACACAAGATTGTTAACCTAGTTCGGTGTACACTAACACCTATTCTGGGGGCTACCAAGTCAGGGATCAAGTTAACTAAAATAGTATCAATTCGAAGTTAAACTCCCCCGTTTACAACTTCTCAACTAATCACTATCCTTACTTAACTTCTACCTAAGACTCACCTAGGTATGAGACCTTTCTCAAATCCCTTACAATCACAACCCAGTGACTAACCAATTCTAAACACTTAGAAAAACACAGAAGTCACACTTCAAAGACACAATTCATTCACTGCTTAAAAGCTTTGAAATGACTGACAGAACTTACAACTCAAAACAGAGTCCTACTAGTTCATCAATATGATAACCGAGAGTCTCACAATAAACACACAAACCTAACACAATATAATATAAGTTCGACACTTACGGGAATAGCTTCAACACTGATGCAGGAAGCAAGTTGAAAGTTATTCTTGAAATCATATACTTTCATGTATCTGGTCCTATCCAGGTAGATTCGATTGGAGGTAACAAGTACTTTGTCACATTCATAGATGATTTCAGTCAAAAACTATGACTTACCTGATCAAGAAGAAAAAAGTGATAGAGGTATTTGCCTAATTTAAGTCTATGGTCGAAAGACAAAGTGGTCAAAAGCTCGAGATTTTGAGGACTCATGGTGGTGGAGAATATGTGTTGAAAGACTTCGACATGTTATGTTAGAAAGAAGGGATTGTACATGAGGTGGTGCGACCCTACACTCTACGGCAGATTGGAACTGCAGAAAGAAAAAATCGAACCATCATAAATATGGTGAGAAGTATGTTGAAAGCCAAACATTTATCAAAGAGTTTTGGAGTGAAAATGTATCGACAATAACATACATTTTGAACTAGGGGTATGCAAAAAAACTGGTTACTGATAACCAAATTCATATCCAAATTGTTCCATTTATTAAAACTCAATCCAAATATTAAATATTGGATTTGGTGGTCCATTTATGGTCAAAGTGGTAAACCGGTACCCATAAAATGGTTATTGGGTATCCAAATTTTTTTCTCATCAAATTTTTTACTTTCCAATTTTCACACTTTCTCAAGAAAATAAGCTCTACATATTTTCATAAAAATTGAATGATGTTTAACACTTTATTTCAAATGACTAATTATTAAATAAATATAAAAATGTTTAATTATAGTTAAAAAATATGCAAACACTCTCAAATAAATTGAAAGATATAGTATACTAAACATTTAAAAAGCAAAATATATTATTATCACTGTAGAAGACAAATTTAAATTTGAAAGAAATTTGTTTGAACTTGATCCCTTTTCATTCAATATACATATACTTTATATAAGAAAACGAATGTGCACAATAAATTAATTAATACTATCTCAGTATTAATTGATTTTTCTTTTAGGATTGATAAAACAAAAAGGATCATTTAAACATAAAAAGGTTTTAAAAAATGCTTTGTGACCGTGAGAACGACTGTGACAAAATGTTTTAGACATATATCGATATCGATACTGTTATATCTGTTTTATATTAAAAAAAACAAATTATAATTAATAATTTACACTGCGACGAACACAATCAATTCCGTGACACCTCTATCGACCGAAATTGCAAAAGTTATAATACGACTCCGACAATTTTTTAAAATCTGCTTCAAATTAAATTAAGGATGTGCTTTATTAATGTTTAAAAAAATTAGTACTGATTTAATTTTAAAATTTTATTAATTAAAATGAATTGAATATAGATTAAATTATATTTAAATAATTTGGATTAAAATTAAAACCGATTTTAATCCGGTTTGAAATCAATTAGATTTTTTAAATCAGTTTTTGTGATTAATGATTTGGTTTGTAAACCATAACCATAAAAATGGATTGGATCAGAATATATGATAACCATGCACACCCCTATTTTGAACAAGATGTCCCACGAAAAAGATAGATGGAATTAACTAAATGAAATATGGTTTATTCCTAGCCCCCACCCCTGCATGATGTTTGATTCACCCATGTTTGTTTATGATTAAAATCGATACACGTAGTTCATTGATCAAATCATTATCTCTTATACCCCCACGCTCTAACCGGTCACTTGGTGTTGAAATCTACAACTAACGGGTGGTTGGGTTTCCCTTCTCATGAAGGGTAGATATACATGCATATACATGGACTCACCCACATTACAATATATATACACCAATTTATTCACATTCTTTTAAAAACTTCTTCTCTTAACTAACCTTCACTACACTATCTCTTACTCTCAACAAAACCAAAAAATAACGAAGCTCACTGTTATGGCACCCTGCAGAAAAAAAGATGGACCAACTAAGAAAACAATGAATAGAGGATCTTGGACCCCAGACGAAGATCAAAAGCTAGCTCATTGCATTCGAACTCATGGTGCCAAGAAATGGAAAACTGTTTCTGCCAAATCAGGTGATAAATAGTAATCATAAGACACAAGTAAAAAAGAAAATGTAACTTGAAACCTAAGTAAGTGTTGCAGTTATCTTTTTTGCAGGTTTGAATAGGTGTGGAAAGAGTTGTAGGTTAAGATGGTTGAATTATCTTAGACCCAATATTAAGAGAGGCAACATTTCAGATGAAGAAGAGGATTTGATTCTTAGGCTTCACAAACTTCTAGGAAACAGGTTCGTCATACTCAACAAAACACTAACACGGACACTAAACACAATACGCACAGACCAGACACAACTTTAATATGAAGTGTCAGTTCTGCATGTCATAGTCATATCATATTTTTTGGTAATGGAGTTTTTGGTAGGTGGTCTTTGATAGCTGGGAGGCTTCCGGGACGAACAGACAATGAAATTAAGAACTATTGGAATTCTCATTTGTGCAAAAAAGCCAGTCACATTGAGGAAAAACCAGAAACTTCCACAACACAAGAAACTATAGTTCAAGACAATATTATGGGGGATAGTGTTATGTTAGAGAATAAATATTCAATTAGTGGAAGTGTCGATTCAGATGTTCTCTTTGATGTGAATGAATTCTTAGACTTTTCTGCTGATGAACCATATGAGTTTGATTGGGTGAATAAACTCTTGGAATTTGAGCAGATTCAGTTTCCTGAGAACACAAATATCTGAGTGAGTATTGTTGTAGATAAGTAGTTCCAGTGAAGTATAATGTTCGGTCAAGGGAAAACAAGTTGTTCTGTTAGGCTTCTAAGCATATGTTTGGATTAACTGTGATCTAATAATCTAAATGCAAAATCACAGTGAAATCGTAATTTCGGAAAATGTTGTCATGATCTCAAAGTAGGAGGTTTACTTGAAAATAATGGTTATTGTTAAAGTAAATATGTAGTGAATTGTGTCATTACTTGTTTATGAGGCATCAAAGGGTTATTTAATGGTGTGTGGCCAATGTAGTGCCAAAATTTTAAGAGTTGTTCTTGTACTAAAAATTGTATTAATGGCTATTGGCTAAAGAAAAACATCAGAAACCAACAACCTGCTAAAAATATGTAAGAAAAACAACAAAACGTGTGTGGTAGCAAGAAAATGATTAGTGATCATAAATTCGAACAGATCTTGCACTATAGAGTTTACAGTTCAAGGAAGAAATTATGTGAAACTGATTGAAAGAGACTAAGTTTTTTACTCATTCGTACCACAATTTTCCTTTTTCCCAATAATTATCATGCATTGAATTTTTTACCCAGATACAATAACTACGAATACAGCAAGACATTTCCCTCTATGGTTTGTATTTGTATGAAAGAGACAGTGCAGAGTTCAAGGATATTATGGTTTGAAAAAGAAGAAAAATAAAAGAGCATTCATAAATATTAACCATATTTCTAATCAAACAAATTTCTAATGTATGAATCCAGCCACTAAGCAGTAAAGGCTGCTAGAGTCTTGCATGCTACCCATCTATATTTGCAGGGTTCAAATCTGGTTTAGCTTGTTGAACCATATTGAATGTAAAATCATGTGAAACAGATCATATCTTATTGGTTTTGGGTTCCAAAGAAAATGCTTCTGCACCATCTTCACATTATTTTGCATTGTAACGTATTTTCGCATAGGGATGGACATCAGAATTTCCTTTAGCCTGGGAATATCCTTCTCGGCCACCACCACAGAAAAAGTACTCCAGTCAAGAAATTCACTAAGTGGAAGAACAAAATTATCTGCAATGATCACAGGAACACATTCGTAATATATGGCTTCAACTATCCTAGGGCTATTAACTTCAAAGCCCATTGGACACAAGCAATATTTACTTGATTTCATGTGTTGAATATAAGTCATCTTTTTGGAGATTCTCAAAGGTAGACGCTTGTAGATTTTCATGTCTTTATCTTTTTCACCACCCCAGTACTTAAGAAGAGTGGGACGCACTCTACCGTGCATGCCTCCAGCAAAGAATGCAAGGATTGGACGTAATGAAACTCTATTCCCACCAAGATATCTACGAGGTCTTCTTGGTGCTCTTATGGTAGTTTCTGGAAGGGAAACATCTCTTCCTGCAATGAAGACTCTTTCAGACACATCAGCATTACATAGAGCTTTTATGGTGTTTCCGGCTAGTTCTTCATGTTCAGCCACAGTGTAAGGACCCTGTAAATGGAAGTATCAAACAGATGTCAAAAAAAGACGAAGACTTCGATAGCATTGAATAGACTATACTGCAAAAGGGGAATATGCATGTCAATATGATTTCAACCTATCAGTATTATCATCAGTGGAATCAGCACCATCATTCTTTATTATATTGGTGCATCTTTATGGATCAAAGTCATTTAAAATTAGTTTTGCTAAATAAACTCACTTTCATCTTCCATCTAATCAATGAAAAGTATGGACGGAAGCAAGGAAATATAAAAATTTAAAATCCCAATAATCTCAAACAATTATCAATCTTAGCGAAACCAATATATATTAGGAATCAACCAATTCAATGGAAAACAGACACCTACCCAATCATGGCAAGCAACAAGGAAATGGTCTGACCCATGTGTGCGATTCCAAAAGGGGTATTTTGCAGCAATCTTGTTTACATAGTCCCTAAGAAAGATTGATAATGGTTTCATATTATGTGACTCAGGCACATAGAGTGCCAACGCCATTTGGTGTACACTGTACGGGAGATAAAATAAGTGTGCCCTCTCAGGATCCTTGGTAACAAATTGATTATTTCCTTCCATTAACTTCATAAACCATCCTTCAGAAGCATAGATTCCCTTAAGGTGAGGGTTGTGAAAAACAGGCCTTGCCCCATCACGATATATATAAACTTTAAGTATTGTTTCCATCAATTCATAGCTCCTGAAATTGAAGGACGGTATTATTTCAATATAGTTTTAACACAGAAAATGCAACTCACAAACCAAAGTTGCAATCAAATCCAAAAAAGCAATATTCAGCAGATTGCACCAACAAGCTACACAATCAGCTCCCCAAGTTTTCAACTTCATCACTTTAAAATCTAGAATACTTGGTGGAAATGATTATAGAAAACAATGAAGTAACTGGATCCAACAGTTTAAATGTTTTACACGATACTAAAATTCTAGACAGCCTCAACTAAAATATTTACTAGGTAAAAAAAGACATTGACCATAGTCGTTAATGTGACTGCAGAAAAATCATTTTTCAAACTTTACATTGGAAAGATGTATCATTATTAGTAATAAAAGTTAGGTTGGTTGGGTGGTTCTCTGACAAGATAGTAGACCAAGTAGTCCGAAGTTAAAGCCTTCTTGCCTAAGTCATCAGATTCTGAGGTGAGTGTATGCCTTGTACCTACAAGTACAACATGGTTGTCAAGATCTCGATCTAGATCTTAAAATCTTAAGATTTTACGATCTCGCTCACCCCCAACGATCCGGATCTTAAGTAGAATCGTGTGTTGTAGCTAAATTGTGAAAAAAAAATCGTAAAATAATTGATTTTGTGCGGTCTTTGCTAGTTTCGGCCACCACCATTAAAAATTGAGAAGGATGACAAGATGCAGAGGCACAACAATTAGGGTTCGATGAGAATGAATGTGTGCCTTTTGAAATGATGAAGTTTTATATTTAGGGTTTAGAGAATAAACATCTCAGCTGTAGGGTTTGTTTTAACTAATTGACTTATGATAATTTTAGTAATTGACCAAATATGTCCCTAATGTCTAACAAATGTTTCATGTGGTAGTAATAAAAATGTCTAACAAATGTTTCATGTGGTAGTAATAAAGTATAAAAACTCAATCATACATGTTTAAAGAATATGGATAAGAGTCTATTTCTCACGAAGGCATTTGCCTACTAACATATATCATGTACAAATACTTCAAATATATACTATTAGTTGCGATCTTATATTTTACGATCTTGTTACCCCCTCTCGATCTTACCAAAATAATTGGGTAGGATCTTTCGATCTTAACTACGATTTTATATTTTACGATCATGCTATTCTCTCCCGATCTTATGTAAGATCTCGATTTTGACAACCAACCCATGTGTCTTCAGCTAAGAGTTTAAGCTTTAATGATAATTAACTCATGACATAGTATAAACTCTATGACTAAGTGGTTTAGAATTTGATCCCTACAACCCTATACTTCTAATAAAAGAAAGCTAACTTTAGCATGAGGCAAGTGGATTTATGTATTTCCCATGCTTCAAACTTCAAAGAATCTTGCTTCAGGGGTTGGATTAGAGATGTAACACAAAACCATTCATGTGCCATCACTTAAAAGATCAAACTTGAGGTGGTTGGTCCAGAACACTAATTTAAGTCAAGTGGTCTATCCTAACATAGATGAATAAATATTCAAAGAAAGAGGGCTTTATGTAATACTGGTAATATCATTTTTTGTTTCTTTGGTTGAATAATTTGATGAGTGGTGGTTTTTAGACATCCTAGTAGCACAAAAACAAATCATTAGCCAACATTAAGAAAAATATAACCAGTTCTACGGGTATAAGAAAGGATTACCCTCCCCTTCACAACAGAATTTAACATCACATTTGTTCAAGCATGTGCGGTATAGATTGGACTATATAGTCTTATTCTAGATTAGATTATCTTACTCTATATTAGAATAGGAATACTTTTTTTTTTTGTAGTTTAGATCATCTTATTCAAGAATATAATAGGAATATTTTTTTCGGGTGCTCGATTTTATTGGGTCTATGAACAGACTTTCATTGTAAACATTTGATAAGCTTTAGGTTACTACATAATATTGAGCTTATTACAGTGTTTATCAAGCAAGTTCCTTGTCAAAAGGAACCCTTCCAGTTATCTGTCCTACATCTTAAATAAAAGAATTTAAAGGATATGCATTGTCGGTGTAAAACTGTTATAGAGTGACTTCTAATGAAAATACTAGTCCATTATGTTGTCACATCACCTCTCAAAAAAAATCAGAAAAATCAATAACCATCCCCTAAAACCATAACAGTGTTCAGCAACAAAACCATGAATAAGTATGCAAGAAGAGTACCTTTTGAAAACAGAAATGTTGGTAAATAAAGGAGCATAAAGATTAGGATCTTCATTCACTAAAGGAGCATGATCAATCTCTTTCTTTGCATACACAAGAGCCTCAGTAGGTGGCAACAACCTAATGTCCCTCTGCCATATAAATATCCAGCAAAACATTGGTGAAGTCTCAAACTCGTACCATATCATATATACTTAAAAATAAAAATAAAAAAAGAAGTAACTTCAAAATCTAATCAACTTCTACCTGCTTACCCAAAGGAACACGGGGACGAGGCGAAGACGCGGTAACTGTTGTACTAATAAGATTTATATTCTTCTTTGGTTGTGAATGAATATCTACAACAGTGTCATGCTGAACTGATACTGGTTGAACAGACTTGTTAAACGAAATAGGCGAAACAAGAGAGGGAGAAAGAGTGAGGCGAACCTGTTGAACAATCTCCCCTTTCAGAAAGTCATTAGACTGTAGAGTGCTATCCGAGGACGATGAATCGGCTACATAAGCATGTACAAAAAACTGAAACAGAAATCCAGTAACGGTAAAAACGGCGGCAAGAATAAGCAATTTTCTCTGATCAATCTTGTGGCCGAAACAACGCCACGATAACTCCCTCATTAGAATCAAAACAGTTAGGCGAAAAACATTCTTCATATCAAATCTCAATCATTTCATCACATCAAAGAATAAAGTATTAACCGTAACCAGAGCATGTGATTCTATAAAGCTCTCATAATTTCTCGGGTGAATCGGAAGGAGAATGCATGGAGTGAAGTAATTAGGAACCTGGTTGAGTTCAGACGATGGATCTGAGTATGGTAAACGCCGAGGTTGACGGTAAGTGTTGCTGTTTGGAAACGGTGCCCGGAACTCATGTCCCCACTCATTTATAAAGATAAACAAACGGCACCACATTTCCTAATACAAAATAATCAATTCAAGTGTTTTTTTTTTTTTTTGACAGGAATCATCAATTCATTTTTCACCTGAGACACCCCATTGTCAATCTCATCCATTCATTTTTCAATAGCGTGATTTAATTAATACATAATATAAAAATTGAGTGGCTTAGATTTTACTGGAGGTTATTTCTCAATATAATAGGTTTTTTTTTATTGAAGTTAAAAGCACTGCACTCTTATTGTAAACTTGTTATGTATTAATATCATTAAATAAAATTATAATATTTTGCTGTATCATATCAGTATTTTTAAATAAATAATTTAGTTAGATATATGTCTCTAATTGATTCAAAATGCTTTTTTTTTCTTTTTTATTTATGAAATTTCGATAATTTAAATATGTTAATATATATTTATATGAATTTATTATAGATAGTTTCCGCTCTTTTAAATTACAAAATTTCCTTACACTTATATTTTAACATTAAAATGTTGGTATTGTGAAACATACCATATTGTTAAATAAAAATGCACTTTTTAATATAATATAAATATAAAATTTCCTATAAAAAATATTTTACTTATTTAACGTCATAAATATTACATATATCATTTTAAATAATATATTTTATAGTAATAATTTATAATTAAGAGGAATTAAAAAAATTAAAAAATACACTTTTAATTTTAATTTTAATATGAATAAAAATATTTACACTATTTTTAATTTATTTGCATAAATATTTTTCTATTTTTTTATTCGTATATAATATTTATAAATAAATAATTAAAATAATGTTTGATTTTAGAGTATTATAATTTATTCTGGATTGTGTCTCCACTTGATTGAAATGTCATACAAAGCCCAGTCCAGCTAGGCTGCAGGAGAAGACCAATAGGAGAGAATCTGTCTTAGACTATGTCAGGCAGTGATTCCACTCCTCTCGTCGATCAAGATATATTTTTCGGGAACAACATCATCACATGACTAACGAGGAGGATCAGCGGCACTCAGGAGATCCTCGCGAGCACCCTCCTCGTAGGGCAGACATCCAACATCTCTGAATATCACGTAATTCTCTTGACCCTAAAAAGACTGCATCCATGTCCTCTTGATAGTTCGGAGAAGTTCATTCATGTTGGAGACCACGTGTTGGCCTCTACTACACACGTAGGACCTGACAGTCTCCATTTTGGACATATTTGATCAGTCTAACATGGAGACTTTGGCCTAGCACTGGGGCTATAAATATCCTTTCACTTGAGAGAGTCAGATATTCATTCATTCACTGATACTCTCACGCTTTACTTGCACTTATTCTGAATCTTACTTTGACATCAGAGTGTCTTACATGTACCTCTTCTCTTATACTTCACATTCAACCACCGCTCGACTCAAAACTCGTGGGCCTTGACGATCTCTTCAGATCAGGTACAATCATAACTTAATAATTTAATTTATAACTTTCAAAAGTTATAATTTCTTGAAAGATTGAAGAGACAATATAATTTATTAATTTTTTAAAATTTTTGATATTTGACTTTACGATCGACTAATCTAAAAGAATCAAATTCACCATCCACTTAGAGTTATATAGGTCTTGTTTAAAGACTTTGTTTTGAATATAGTCCAACCCATAAATTATTTTTCTTCTCTAAATAAATAGTGATAATTTAGTTTTTAAATACTAACGATTCGTTTGATTCGCAAGTATTGATAAAGACATGATATGATATAAAGCAAAATAAGATTTGATATAGGCATAATAAGACTTATGGTTCATACAGAATATCAATATAATATATATAAAACAAATTTATCTTGTAAAATAACTACATTTTTTTTAAATTATTTTGTAAAATATTTTAAAATTTATAAATTAATAAAAAATTAATAATTTTATATAATTTAAAAAACTCATTAACACTATAAAATAAATAATTTAGTTTTTCTAGAAAAAGAATTTAGTTTGACACTATTGAATAAACAATTTAGTTTGACATTATTGAATTCTATTATATATGTTAGATAAAAAAAATAAAAATATTATATATATATATATATATATATATATATATATATATATATATATATATATATATATATATATATATATATATATATATATATATATATATATATATATATATATATATATATATATATATAAAATATGTAAATAGGGATGTCAATGGGGCGGGGCGGGGTCGGGGGACACTTCCCCATCTTTTTCCCCGCCATCAAATTCATTCCCCGTCCCCGTCCCCGATCTCCGTCACGGGGGAATTTCTATCCCCATCCCCGTTCCCCGCGGGGATCCCCATAGATCCTACATTTATTCATTAATATTTTATTTTTTTAAAATGTTTATATTTTCTATAAAAATAAAAAGCACAAAGAATTCACATATTTATTATGTTATTAAAAAATACTAGTATTTGACATTTATTATTTTTTATTAAAAATACTAATGGAACACAAAATAATAATATTTTTTTTATAAATTTCTATAAAATGCTATAAAATTCAACAAAATGAACTATAATACTTTTTAAAGTAACAATATGCCTAAACAACTAAAAAAATCCAACAACATAATTATGCTTAAAAAACTATACTTCATCAAAACTAATAAGGGATAATTATAAAATTTAGCATCATGAGTATGCTTGAAAAGCTAAAAAATACTTCATAATAAGTCAACTAAAAGCAAAAGTCAACATATCTCTATTTGCTCAATTGATAACACACGTAAAGTAGAAATATCAAAATACTTAAAACAAAGTTACATATAAATAAACTAAAATATTAAGCAAAATATCCAAACAAGTAATGATCAATCATGTCTCTCTTTCCAACTTCTCCTTGCAAGGTCTTCTTCCTCATTCCACAATTAGATATGACTTTCTTTTTCCTACGAAAAGTAAACAATCAATAATTATATTTACTTAAAAAAATACTTTAAAAACTAAAAGGTAATCAACACTAATATGTAAATTACCTTATTATCATCATCATCATCATCCATATCTTCATCCACACATTCGAATTGAGTCAACGTTTTTGAATAACCTAAGAAACAAATAGCTAAATTAAAATTTAAAAATCCTTTTCAATTAATCTTGTAAAAGATAAAAATATATTACCTTTTATATCTTTTCGGATCCAATCTTGAGTGCACATCAAAGCCTCTAAAGTGTCTTCCTTCAACCTACTACGTTGTTGACTTAAAACACGACCACTAGTACTAAAGGCGGACTCTGAAGCAACGGTAGAGATAGGAATTGCTAAAAAGTCCCTTGCAATCTTTTACAAAGTTGGAAATTTCAAACCATTTTGTTTCCACCATCCTAAGATGTCAAAATTTTCCTTTTTTTGTTTATCAAGCAAGACACCATCTTCCAAGTAGGAAGTAAATTCTGACTTGACATTTGTAGTTGAAGTATTTTCCATCACATATTCTGAATAAGCCTTCTCCCAATCTTGACTTGTGACATCAATGTCATCTACCAATGTTGATGCACCAACTTCACTACTTGTAGGAACCATATCATTATTTGGTTGATATTCTTCAACTAAATCTTCACACATTTGTATTACCTTTTCCAATTCTTTGGGAGCATTATTCCCATACATAAGTGGGAAGAAGTAATTCAACAAAGTTATTTTATATCTAGGATCCAAAACAGCCCCTATTGCCATCACCCCATTAATCAAACTCCAATATTTGTCAAACTTCACTATCATACTTCTTGCCATACTTTGTATAGTATCACTAGAAGAATCTTCCCACTTTCTTAAAGCTAATCTTATTTGACAAACTTTGGGAAAATAAATGTTTGATGTTGGATACTTAGTACCCGAGAACAACTCAGTGACACTAAAAAATAATTTCAACTTGTCACAAATTTCTCTTGCCATTTTCCAATCTTCTTCACTTGGTGCACACTTATATTGGGAATCACGGCGTTGTTTTAAACGTTTAAAAACTTGTTCGTAAGGCAATGCAGAAGCAAGCATTAAATAAGTAGAGTTCCGTCTTGTTCTACAATCTTGTGCAAGCTTCTTTTCATAAGTCATGTTCAATTGATTACAAGTTTCTTTAAATTTCTCCTCCCTCTTTGGTGTTGCTACCCAAAAACCGACACTTTCCCTAATCTTTTCAATTGAACTAGAAATTGTTTGCATGCCATCTTTCACTATCAAGTTTAATATGTGGGCGCAACAACGCATATGAAACAATTTCCCTTTTAAAATAAAAGAAGAAGGTGACATCTTATCAATCAAATGGTCAATCAGAGCATCATTGGTGCTACAATTATCAACGGTTAATGTTGACAATTTTCTATCAATATTCCAATCCATCAAACAATCTACCAAAAAATCACAAATGACCTCAGCAGTATGTGGCGTAGGGACATAAATGAACCTAAAAATAAATTATAATAAATATCACATAAAATAACTATATTATAATAATAACGTAAATGGAAGGGAGAAGTTACCTGATGATCCGATTCTGCAAAATCCAATTTTCATCAATGTAATGAGCTGTAACAGACATATATCCTTTGTTCTGGTTGCTAGCAGTCCACATATCAGTAGTTATTGCAATGCGGCTTTTATTCTTTGCAAGTATTTTCATTTGCTTTGACTTCTCACTTTCATACAACTTCATTATATCATTCTTCATGGTGTTGCGAGAAACTATCTTGAACAAAGATTGAAGAGAATGGCTATAATTTCTAAAA